CTTCTGATTCACGGTGATCCTAAAGGATGGAGGAGAACGCCCCATAGGGCTTCCAAGTCTGTCACCTTCTCAAAAGCAGATCACCAGGTCTTTCCTTCACAGACTGGATAGTGGATTCAAAACACCAACCTGTCTGTTAGCAGCTGAATACTTAACCATCGGCCCCATGGATACTTAGTAAGATGGTAGATAGACCTTGATTAAATCAGTGATTTCATTAAATTCATTTTAATTCAATTTAAAAGGCACAGATAAAATAAAAAAAAATTATTATTTTGTTTGGAGAAAGATCTTAAACATCACACCTAGAGAATTAGATGTTGTAAAGATTTATCACTAGAAATATTGGCCATCTCAAGGATTTAAAATAATGGCAAATTAAGCCCCAACATATAGAACACAAGGAACAGTGAAGATCAGAAATTAATGTTATAGAAAGTGTGTATATGGTGAAGAAAACCCACAAAGCTAAAGGTATTTTGTCTTTGTTTTTAAGACAAATAAAACTCGTAACCCCTGCAAGACTGACCAAGAAAAAAGAAATACAGCCCAGATGATTAATGTCAGAAATGAAACAGGCGTCATTATTACAGATTACACAGATATCAAAAAGATAGTGGTTAAATCATCAATAATAATTTTTTTACAGCACCTAAAATTGACTACATTGCTAGGGGGAAATAGCAAAATGTCAAAACTGACAACAGATAACTCAAATAGTTCTAAGACCATTTAAAAGATTGGATTCAAATTCCCACAAAGGAAATTCTAGGCTCACAGTGCTTCGTCAGCAAGTTATTTCAATATGGAAGGAAAAAGTAACACTGGTAAACAAATTAAACAAAATCCTTCAAACTCACTGTCCTTGTGTTGATGCTGACTCAGCGTGACCAAGTAGGACAGGCTAGAATTGCCCCTATGAGTTTCCTAGATGGGACTATATTTTAATAAAATAGTGTTATTAGAATATACTTCATTTATCATACAATTTAACCATTCAATCATATTAAGAAGAGTCATGCAATCATCACCATAGTTAATTTCTGAGCATTTTCCCCCTCTGGCTCACTCAATTCAGAAATAAGTTGTTCATGCCTTATTCCTCTCAACTACCCTCTGCCATCTATAGATTGGATTTTATATGCAGAAAATCACACAAAACACACACAGGAAGCAAACGAACCACAACCATCCATGATCAGCAGACAAAACTGAAAAACCTCACACAAAAAGGAAGCAGAAACTATTAAAAACTGAAAGTATTAAAAAATAAGTCAGAAGGAATAGCAAATGAGAAGGTGTTCCATTTTAACATAATTTCATCTGCCATAGTTGACTTTGCGGTGCTCTCTCTTTGACAGCAAGGCTAGTCCCATGCCTGGTCTATGTTCCGAGGGGATTCACTGGAGGTGAGGACCCTGCAAATGGGTTTTGGACTTCCAGTGTTATGCATCACCTTCTGCGAACCAGGCGTTCACAATTTAAGCTTCAGACCCCTCCTTCCTTAGGATTTGGATTTTATTACTTACAATCCTTGGAGCACACACGCTGGTGTGCTTCTTCTGAATGGACTTAGTTGATGCCTCACTTACATGGCTGCTTGTTTAAAGACAAGCTTTGAAGACTCTAAACACTATTCTTTCTGACAGCTGGGCACACCTTTTGAGGCAAGCATAATCTTGACACTTAACTATTACAAAGCTACAAGAAAGTCAATCCAGGCTTTCTTGAAATTCTAGACTCTTCTAGTAACTTGGACTGAAAAAAAACATGAAGTGTAGTGGCAAATTGAATACAGTAAGGTATGACAGGGCTCCCTTTAAATATATTATAGATTAGAAAGATAAAGCATCAGAATCAAGAACTCTATTCCAGGAATTCAGTGTCAACTTGACATTTCAAAGCAGTAAGTGTGACCTATCACCTTGGGAGATTAAAAGAGAAAGAACTTAGCATCAACTCACTAGATGGAGGAAGCAACTCTTACCAGCTAAAGAGAAAAGGACTTTTCTACATAAAATATTTGTAGCAAACTACCAAGTGTTTTTCCCTCTACCATTGAGAGCAAAACACAGATGATTTCCATAACACATCTAGCTAACCCTGCACTGGAGGGGAAAAATAAGTTAAAAAGTGTGCATATTGGTAAGGAGTACACAAACTATCATTGTTTATTGCTGTAGATATGCACAAGAGTATATGAACAAGTTTAATCATAAATTTAACAAGGCTAAAATATAAAATTCATTTGTATTTCTGTGAATTAGCCATCATTTAAAAAGAAAATTTTAAATGAAATAATTTCAGTGGAATCATAAAACATCAAATGCCATGAAAGAATCTATTGAACGATGTCTAAAATCTGCCCCCCCAAAAAGAAATCATTACTAAGAGAAATGAAAGATGACTGTAAAAACAAAGGATACAACCAATGTATTCATGGATAAAACGCTCAAAATATTATAAAGATATCAGTCTCTTCCACGTATATCTAGATTCAAAACAGTTAATATTTGAGATATTGAAAAACTTATTTAAAATTTTAAAATGGAATGAAATCCCACATATATACCACATGTATCTAGATTCAAAACAGTTAATATTTGAGATATTGAAAAACTTATTTAAAATTTTAAAATGGAATGAAAT